TCATGAAGTAGTCATTTAGGCTACATGTGTCATCTGTGGAGCGTCTTTATACTATAGTATAGTTTATACTTTAGTTTGTATACTTGGTCGTCATAACAACAAACCTTCTTTGTCCACGTTGTTGCTAACGGCTGCGGTGGCGTCTCCGTTGATGACATCGAGGAAGAAGTCTGCAGGGTTGTTGTGGGGCTCACAGGTGTATCCTGGGAAACAGAGTTAATGGTTAACGTCACCTCTACGTCATGTGATGTCACAGCATTTGAAAGTAGAGCACATGTTCGTACCGACATCTGAGAAATACTCCAGTGCGCTCTGCGCTGGTCCGTGATAAACCTGACGACATTAGAAATAACACGTTAATGATGACGTCTGAACACAGAGAGCTGACAGGAAGAGGAGGTTCTGGACGTGGACCTGTTTCCCGGTGACGAGCAGCGTGAGGCTGTCAAACAGACGGTAGATGGAGTAACGAGGCTGGTGGATCGACAGGATGATGGTGCGACCGTGGTTCGCCATCCTGGACACAGAGAGAGAGAGGCTTCACTGTCGGCCATCTTTATCTACGCTGAACAGGTGAAGTGTGTGTGTGTGTGTGTGTGTGTGTGTGTGTGTGTGTGTGTGTGTGTACCTCTTGAGCAGCAGTAGTACAGAGTTGGCGGTGCTGGCGTCGAGGCCTGTGGTTGGTTCGTCGAGGAAGAGGACAGGAGGGTCGATGATCAGCTCCATGCCGATGTTCGTCCTCTTCCTCTCACCGCCAGAGATCCCACGAATCAGCTGAGTGCCCACCTGACCACACACACACACACACACACACACACACACACACACACACACACACACAGAGAGAGAGAGGTGTGTAAAATAAATTATACATGTTTTCTCTCTTGCCCTTTTCCTTCCCTCCTCTCTCCCACCCTTCCTTCCTTTCCTCCTCCCTCACACCTTCCCTCCCTCACCCTTGAGTCGGCCACTCGGCTCAGTCCGAGTTCTTGAATCACTTTGTTGACTTTCTGTTCTTTGTCCTGGGCGCTGACGGAGGACGGGAGTCTAAGCGCTGCAGAGAAGGTGAAGTTTTCTCTGACGGTCAGAGTTCCCATCACCACGTCGTCCTGGCAACGAGATCAAACAGCTGATAAGAGCTCTTACTGTTGTGAGCAGACACTTCCTGTCCAGAGTCAGCTGCTTCCTGTCTCACCTGCACCACGTATCCTGACAGACACTTGAAGTTCGGAGGCTGAGGAGCTCCGTCGATCAGGACTTCTCCCGACAGGCCGGCGGGATCCTTCCTCGCTGCCAACACGTCCAGGAAGCTGAAACATCTGTAGGTTCAACGTCTCGTACGCAAATGTTATTTACGCAACTTTATTTATAGAGAAGATTTTCAAAGAAAACAGATTCTGCTCAAACCTGTTTTAAATGTAGAAAAAGTTCACGTGTCTCACACACACACACACACACACACACACACACTCACGATGACTTGCCGCTTCCTGTCGCTCCCATGATGGCGTTCAGTCCCGGCTTCATGATCCCACTGAGAGAGAAGGAACAGATCCAGATATTCATATCACATATCATATATATTACATATAATATAT